ACATGACTGGCAATGGGTTTCACATTAATAGATTTGACTCAGTAAAGAGACTTAATGTAAAAGGTCCAGGCTTCAATCTAAGAAGATAGCGGAGTTCTTGTATGTATTGTGTGTCACACAGAGGTGACTTTTAGCCACAACAGTAAACATGCTGATTCAGCATGGGATGCTCCACTCACCTCCTCCAAAGTGAAGAAAGTGGGTTTCAAAATCTACACCTGGGGCCTGGGGCTATAGGGAAAGTGCTGAGCAAGAATGGGGACCTGAGTTCAGGTCCCCAGACCCCATTTCCTCCCTCACCTGGATTGAAACCATCAAGTGGCAGTGTCAATGTTACTTCTCCCAGAAGGACGTCCATAAATTCTCTTACTGCCTGTGATTTCCTGGTACCCTGTCTTGCTTTTCCTCTGCACCCATGAGAGTAGGAGAACAGCATCTCAGGGGATGCTGTCGTTCCCAAGACAAGGGATTGGCACATTAATGATGACACTGTACTGAAAGATTTAAGCAAGGCATCACTAAACAGGAAGCCATTTTAAAAATCTTGGACAAGCTTACTGCATTGGCTATCAGTTACCCTGTTTTGTCCCACATTGCACCCTTAGCAAAGTTGGCATAATTGGCATTAATTATCCACAGACTCCAGTTTAGATTCGGTCTCTCCTGCTTGAATGTACACCATCGTTTAGAGAGACTGCTTTTGTTTAGCTTGCTATCACACTCTGAGGGCCTGAATTTCCTTCTGCTATCTGATGCTGAGTGAGGCAAGCTGGTGCTGCCTGCACCCTGGTTTAGTGTAGTGGGCTGTAGTATCTCAGCTGGGACTTAAGATATGTGCCCATGGCTGGTTCATGTGTCCTGAGAGTCAGGAGAAATCAAATTAGTCACAGGTGCCTCTGAGTTCTCCAGTCTTTCTGGCAGGAATGTCAAAGCTGCCCATCACTCAAGGTGCTTCATAGCGCCAATATTTTCTCTATAAAAGTGCTTTCTTTGTAGTTCTCACCATGATGGTTGGATAGAGTATTAGTGAGTTTATTTACTTACTTTAATATTCTATGTGTATGGGTGCTTTGCCTGGATGTGTGTCTATGCACCAAGTGTGTGCCTGGTATCCACAGAGGATCTCCTGGAATTAGAGAACTAGTTCGTGGTGAGCCACCATGTGATGCTACAAACAAATCCTCTAGCAGAGAAGCCAGTGTTCTTAACTGCTGAGCTATCTCTCCAGCTTTGGACTTAGTGAGGCTAATCATTCATGCTTCATAAGTGTGCAGCAGTGCACAGCAATTTGGTAGGTTATTTTCTTTGTATTTTGCCCAATATTATCATAAAATCTCATACTCCTGAGAGCTGGACTCCCCAGAAACAGCTGTGCTTACTTCATTCAGAGCTAACAGGTCCTCTGGCAGTGGAGACATCTTCAGGCATCGCAGTGTTCTCTCTATCTTGACATCTCTTTATTTTGGCTTTTACTGTGATTGAAAAGAGGGTGAGAAATAGGATAAAAATAAAACAAATCACTTTTACTAGCTTTAGTGTTCTTCTATCTCCCAACAGCTGTCTTAACTTGGAAAGGTTTCCCACTAGGGAAGGAATTTAGCTTATCATTTTATGTTTAGAAATCCAGGCTGATTTGCCTGCTGATTTAGAATACATTCCAGAAAAGTTCTTTCATCCCCTCTCTCTATATCCTGCCATTCCTACTGATGAGTTTTACAGCCACAGACCTGAGCAATCAGAGATGGAAAGAACCTTATTTTAATCATTGTTTTCTACTGAATAAACACATTTTGTCAACATTTCCTAAATGCAACAATACAACTATTTGTACAGCATTTGCTTGTATTAAGTTTTATGATGAAGGTAGAGATGACTTGAAGTAAAAGGGGCTCTGTGCACAGGCTACACGCAAATACTACATTCTCTATGCAAATGCCTTGGGAATCTGTAGAGTTTGCTGTCTGTGGTGTTCTATAGCTAATTGGCCAGAGATTCTGAGGAACAAATATAAACATAAGTATATAAGAATGGGAAATCAAAAGGTTGAATTATTCGAATTACATGAGTGCTTAGACATGTTCATCTTTAAAACTTCATGCATATCATGTCAATATTAATGTGTCTTTCCTTTTTTCTGCCTTCACTAAATACCTCTCTCCTCCATTTGTGTTGTGGGAAGACAGCTCTGCATTTGTGTGCTTACATGGGTAGTTCTATTCAACAAGCACATAATCAAACCCATGTTTTTGTCACCTTTGAGCCAAGATTCTGCATTATCAGTTGTCTATTGTTAAGAGTTGGGGATGGGAGGGGAGGGTGGTCAGGGTGCATGTGAGGGGGGAGAGAGGGTAAGAGGGAGGGGAGGAGGGAGAGGGAACTGGGATGGACATGTAAAATAAAATAAAAATTTAAATAAAAGGAAAGAGAAAAAGAAAAAAGAGCGGGTTTTCCTGCTGGCCTGGTCCTCAACCTACATTTAACTAAAAACAGTGGGCAGTGTGTAAATAAGACAAAGAGAGGTGAGGTAATACCAACACACTTCAAAAGCGCGCAGCACAAAGGCAGTTGTGTATTCACTGCACAAAATGGCAGGTAAGTAAATACTAAATAGATAAGAAAGATGGCAATTCTAGATTGCCTATTATTTTCACTGGAAAACTATTTTAAACTTCTTTTCAATTGCAACATTGCTCAGAAAAAAAAAAAAAAAAAAAAAAAAAAAAAAAAGGTAAAAGTCATTTCCAGGGAACCATTTTGATGAGCTGGTTTGCTGGCTATGTGTCACCTCTGTGGTAGGAAGTGATTCTGAAGACATACAGAAAGATTCTGCCATCTTCCATATGGACAGGACAGCCTTCCAGTCATCATGCCTTCCTGGAGGTCAGTGTTTACAGAAGCAGGCATCACTGTCCCTCTTAACTGGGTTTCTAGTGCTGTGGTGAGCACCATGCTTGGAAGCAGCTGGAAAGGAAAGGGTTAGGTTCAGCTCACAGCTCTCAGGTCAAAAGCTTATCCCAGATAGAAGACAGAGCAGGCACTCAAGGCAGGCAATGAAGCAAAGTCACCAAAGAGTGCTCTTTATTGTCTTGCTGCCCATGGTTTTCTTAGCTTGTACTTTTATACACCCCAGGACCTCCTGCCCAGAGGTAGCATTGGGCTAGACCCTCCTACATCAGCCATTAATCAAGAAAATGTCCCTCAGACTTGCCTACCGGCCATTCCTACAAAGACATTTTCTGAGTTCCTTCTTCCCAGATATGTCTAGGTTTGCATCACATTGACAAAAACCACCAGTATTCTTTCCAGTGGGAGTTTGCAAGACTAGATCATGAGCCAGCCAGGCATTGGAAGCACTATTGGCAAAGGGGCATGTTTTCATGCAGCAGTAGTAGAGACTTGTACATTTGTAACCTATAATGACAGATGGCCAAATCTCCTGTTAACATGCTCTGGAAGGTGTAAGAGGCCCCTTCGACCATCATCTGATGGACAGAAGAGCAGAGTCTGCCATTAAAATGGCCACCCGTGGGCACGATGTGCATTAAGGCAAACAGTGGGGACCTGGTTTGTCTAAGACCTTGGTACACATGGGAAAAGCCAGGTGCCTCACTCTTGCCTGGCTACTGTCCTCTTCTGGGGTCTCCTTTTGGGACCCACCCCAGGATCCGACCAGAGCATTTTTTTTTCTCCCTCAGAGTCTTTTTAACCCAGCAGAGGTACTTGGATTGTCAGTTACTACCAGAATGGAAATTGAGTTTCTCCACAAAGCTTTGAATTCCCTGCATTTGTTAGAAGAGGCAAGAACGTCATGGCTGAGGATTAACATAAGAAATAGTTACTGTCCTGCTCCAGCAGTGGGAACAGGATAAGGAGAGTCCTTGCTGTGATTGTAGGCAATAATGTTAGTACCTGTAAGGTTCAGTCGAAGTCTGCTGTTCTAGTTAGACATATACACAGGAACTTCCTATTTATACATCTTAAACCACTAACTCTGTATGACCTGTTTGATTCTGACAAGAGTATTTCGCAACTTTATTTGGATCCTCCAATGAATAAATTCAATACTACCACGGCTTGTCTCCTTGCCTAAGAGACTGGTTCTACGAACTTTGAAGACACGAAATTCCAAACACACTGTGCAATCAAATGATCCCGTGCGCTCTGTGCACAGCACAAGGCGGTCTTATCTGTTACTGGACCAGAGCGTAATGCTGGACCGCCAGCCGGGAAGCCAGCCGTAGCTCAGAAGGAAGGAGCTGAGTGGTGTGCAGCTGAGGGAGTTGGAGTTGGTGAGAGCCCTGGCCTGGACTTGCTCTGAGGGTGTGTGTGGGGGTGGGGTGGGCTGAGGGGTGGGGAACTAGCGTGGCTGCTCTGAATTTGCCCCACCCCCTGTGCATCCCACCCGGCAGAGTCGACTCCAGTCCTGGAAGCCACACACTGAGCAGCGGGAACGTGGATCCCTCAGGGCAGAACAGCCACCCAGGAACTAGAGTGGCATCTCAGAGGCTGATGGGGACTTGAGACGCCAGGTCTCCTGTGCGCGATCGAGCAGGAGGTGAGCTTGGGGCTTTCAAGGCACAGTGGGACGATTGTTGAGCTCAGTATGTTGGGTGGCGGGGCACTTTCTTGTGGCTGCCAAGTGCCAGCAGCCAGGGTAGGGAGGGACAGCAACAGGAATGGACAGTGCCTGAAGGGAACCTGCACCTTCACGGCTCCCCAAGGTGCAAACGGTCTCAGTTTAGCAGCGGCTGGCGGGGGGGGGGGGGTGAGGGGGTGAGGGGAGAGGTCGGGGAAGGTTGGGAGTGGGGGTAGGGATGTCTGCAAGAGGTTAGTCCTCCCTGCCCCTTCCTAGGGCTGGGCGGCTGAGACTGAGTGGAGGGTTTGCAGGGTTTGCCCCGCCAGCTGCATGCCTCCCCTGCACAGGCAAAGTTTGTCTCTCTGGGTCCAATCTGTCCTCTGCTCCCGCAGCTCTGCAGGTACCACCATTCGTAGCTTTCCAGCCTTAGCCCTCACAATGGAGTCCCCGGTCCAGATCTTCCGCGGGGAGCCTGGCCCCACCTGCGCCCCAAGTGCTTGCCTACTTCCCAACAGCAGCACCTGGTTCCCTAACTGGGCAGAATCAGACAGCAATGGCAGCCTGGGCTCGGAGGACCAACCGCTGGAGACCGCACACATCTCCCCAGCCATCCCTGTCATCATCACCGCTGTCTACTCTGTGGTGTTCGTGGTGGGCTTGGTGGGCAATTCGCTGGTCATGTTTGTCATCATTCGGTGAGTGCAGGGTGTGGTGGTGGCAGGGGTGGTGTGTGTGTGTGTGTGTGTGTGTGTGTGTGTGTGTGTGTGTGTGTGTGTGTGTGCAGGGGTGAGTCAGCTAGGTGTGGGGTCTCTTCTGTGCAGGGTTCTGGAGGTTCTTCAAGGTGACATCTTATAAGAATTTCCTGGGAGAGTTTTTACAGGAACTGCAGGGTTCACTCAGGGCAAACCCAAGGTACCTTTAGGACTTAAGAGCTGCCTGCAGAGGCTCCAAACCTTTGCTGAGAGGAACACTGGGAGGAAGTGCCAGGGTTCTGATCACAAGGTCATCTGGTCAAGAAAAGAGAATATCTATGTGAGCCTTTGCTGGCTTACCTGCTTTGAAGCACTTTACTGCCCTGTGTAAATATTTCTTTAAATAAATTCCAGACCCACCAAATGCAGTGGAGACGATCAGAATTTTCTGTGACTCATCAGACTGGTGTTGTGGCTTATGAAGTGAAAACCAATATATTATTTCGCAAATATCCACTAGCATGATTTCACAGCGCCCAGGATCAAACCCAATGAGTATGCTAGGCAAGCAATCTGCCTCTGAGCTATTTGCTTAGCCCTTGGCTTTTTGACACAGAGTCTTCTTAGGCACCACAGGCTGCACTTGAGTTCATTCAGTAGTCCAGGCTTGTCTGGGACTCCCATCGTCCTGCCTCCACCCTTCTGAGTGCTAGGATCATAGCCCTGGGCTTGATGCCCAGTTCATCCCTTTTCTGTTCACTTCTCTCTATATCCTCTGAGCCCTGGCTGCTTCACAGATGACTTTCTTCTGTTTCCTAAGTAATCGAATCCCCCGCGGCCCCATAGCTCTCTCTTCTGCCCTCTTGGAATGTTTCCCTTATTAGTCAAACAGAGAAACAGAAGCAGTGGTGTCTGTGCACGCTAAAAGAAGTCCCACAACCGATTGGTTTATGTGATTGTGAGGAAACCTGCAGTTGAGAAAGCCAGAAGGGCTTCTGCCTTGGTGAATTCAGGAATTCTCAGTGCCTTCTGTTGGTTCAGCTGGCCCACCCTTGTGGTCAGGATTACTTCCCCTACTTAAAATCAACTGAATCTAGACTAATACCTCCTCTAGAAACCTGTCATAGTAACACTCAAATGAATGTATGAAGACCTAGCAGCCACAAGGAGAAACATTAAACCCACCACCACACTCCCCCACCCCCCCAAATGGCTTCTTTTTTTGTGGCCATGATTTTCACGTGATGATAAGCCCCCAAAACTCTATCTCCTCCAGTTAACCAGGTGTTTCAAAGAACTCCACTATTCCCTCTCGCTCTGGATGGCCACCTGATGCACTTCTTACTTTCTAGACCTACTTGTATTAGTCTGACAGGGCTACCATTACCAAGTTCAATAGACCAGGTGGCTTCAATAACAGGTGATTTTGTCTCACAGTTTTGCAAAACGCCCCCGGTTGAAGTGTACCAGGTTGGTTTTCTCTGGAATCTCTCTTTCTGACATCACTCTTTTCAGCTGCCATCTCCATGGCCTTCTTTCCACACATGACTATGCCCTGACCTCTAATAAAGACAGCAGCCATATCAGCGTAAGTGTGATCTCACTGGATCGCGATTATGTCTTTGACAGCCATGTCTCCAGTCACATGCTGAGGTGCCAGACCTTAGGACGCCAACATACTAAGCTCAGCCTGTGACACTACGGCCCTAACCCGCCCCTTTTTATTCTTCTAGAGTTCTTCCTCCCAGCTTCAAATCCTACAGTAGTTACATTTATATTATTGTCTCACTCATAAGAAGGTACATTTTTTTTGTAAATTAACTTTAAGGACAAACAAAGAAAATTGCACAGGGAAATTCTTTGCATCTCCGTGACAGGCAGTGATTTTTCCTTTGCTCACGGTTCTCAGTAGTTTTCAGCCCCGGCTTGGCTCCCTCCCAGACTTGCTCTGGAGAAGAGAGCATCTGCTTGTTTGTAGCACAGCATCATTGCCTTGAAAGGTCCCCAAAAGAGTCATCTTAAAACAGGCTTAGAGTGACCTATGGAAGGACTACTATGAAAAGGCTACATTTCCCCAGATCAGATTTATTGATCCATCCAAATTTTCTGAGCACGATGCTTGTTTGTCATGAAGAAACCAATTTCCTCACCTATAAATAAGAGAAAAGCTTCTTTTTCCTTAAGCCACTGAGCAGAAGTTCCATAGTTCACTATGCTTATGCCATCTTAAGTTTGGGACAGACAATGGCTTATTCGGGATCCCTCTAAGCCAATCTAGACTACATGCCAGACTTTGTGGCTGTCTCAGAATTGAATAAGTGTAGGAAGGAATGAGATAATCCGATTGGAAAGTCTGCAGTAATATTGCCTCTTCCACATCAGAGTCCCCATAATCCATGCATTAGATGTCCTTGCAGCTGCTTGTGTGGATTAGCTAAAATTATTTTCTCTCAGTGAAATATGTGATCACAATGAGGTATGTATGGATCCTGCTCAGCCATTTCAGGACAGAAGCTAAACAGCCATAAGTTAGAGAAAGAAACTGTGGAAGGGAGGTAGGTGAGTAGGAAAGAAGTCAGCGGGCTGGGGGCATAGCCCTGCAATCCCGGCTACTTGGGAGGCTGAATCAGGACAGATGTGAGATCAAGGCCTGTTTGGACAATTTACTGCAAGAGCAAAATCTCACAATAAAAACAAAATGGAGCTGGAGGAAATGCCTCAGGGTTCAAGCACTTACTGAGCACACACAGGACCCCAGCACAGAAAAGAAAGACAGAGATGGGCTATAGCTCTCCTAATGCCTGAACAGACCACAAACAAAGCCTTCTGAGCTGCTGCTGTATTCTCCTGGCATTACTTTCTTTCCTGACATCACTTTCTTTCCTGACATCTGTCTTGGGGCTAGCTTCACAAAAGTTTGTTATTTACTGGGAGGGACAATTTCTTCTCCATTAGCTATAGTGCTGTTTCCCGAGGGGCAATATCTTTCTGGGAACTGTGTGGGTGGCACCTCCTTCACCTTAGCTTGACTTCTGGATGCAGGCAGTCACAGTTGGCCCTGCAGGTTCTGTGCTCAGCTACAGATCTACAATTCTGTGGCTGGAGGACAGCTGCCATTCTAAGATTGATGGGGTTTCATTGGGACAAGTAATACAAGCTTAGAATTGAATCAAGAGCTTTGACGTTAACACTCATTCCTCACTGTTTCTTTAAAAGGATATGCCAGATCATGTCTTAGACAAGGAAAACTTACATAAGAAAAATAGATGGTGGTAGTCTTTGTTTTTTGAAACATTCTCACTAAATTCCCCAAGTTTGCCTCAAACTCACTATCCTCTTAGTTCAGCCTACCAAGTATTGGCCTAGGGGAGCTGTGCTACAACACTTCATAAGAAATTGGATTTTAAGAATTGGGTTAATGCTGGAAAACACCTGTGGGTTATTGTCAGTTCATTAGTTTAACACTTACTATCCCAAACAGCCAATCAGGCCAGAATTTTCATGAAAGATTTAGATCTTTGCTTATGTCAATTCTTAAGAGAAGCAGAGAAATAAATTTTAAGTATCTATATACTTTTTGGCACCCAGATGGCTGTGCCCTGATGAACATACTAGAATTTGTTCTGGGCACTCATGGCCATGTGGCAATACCAAGAGGAAGGGATTAGGCAGGAACTACTCCAGTGAATTTGTTTTTTGGGCGTTCCCCATCCCTCTGCCACATCCTGCTGGGATAGGCTGCCTAGACCTGTCCACTGCAATCAGCTACCCGTGTGGTAACTGAGAGCAAGGTCAGCAGCATGTTCCTGCTCCATCCTCTCTAGTGCTGGCTCTGTAGAAAGGTGAGCACTGGAACAGTCTGGCTCCAGAGAGAATGAGATTCCACAGAGGGACTACAGACTGAAGGAATGTCAAAGGCATCTCAGAGGCAGGGACCTCTCCTTTAAGAAATGAATAAACTACTGCCTTTTAGGAAGCAGCCATGATTTCAATGGCAAGTAATCCAGAGAATGTTTAGCAAACTAATTTTGTTGAGATGAAGTGATGATATCTGGAGAACTTAATGAAACAAACGCATGTTTTCAAATCATTCAACTGAGAAGTCGGATCAGGGCGATCTTAATTCCTGATCATTTTATTTTTATTTAATGTTTCAAAAGACACTTTTCTAAAATAATTTTTTGAGTTTACAGAAAAATTGAACGGAATGCATACATTTCCACATACCCTGCCCCTCACATGCAGTCTTCTCATCATAAGCATCCTGCCCCGACCAAAAAACGGGGCCTTTGACACACCTGTGCTGACTCAGTATTGTCACCCAGACTCCAAAGTTCCCACAGGACTGTTCCACCCTCCCAAGTTCTGCTGAGACCTGACTACTGAAAATTACTTGTGTTGAAGGTGTGCTTAGATCACTTGTGCTTTAAGTTTGTTTTTAAAATGTTGCTCAAACACTTACATGTTGACGACGTTGCTGTCCTCATGTAGTGCAGCTCAGAGGCAGTAGAATGTTTAAAGAGGTGTGGCTTAATGTAAGGAAGTGAGGTCCTTGCCTGCATGTCCTTGAAGGAAATACCTACCTGTACACAAGAGCTCTCTTTCTCTCTCTGTCTGTTTCTTTTTCCCTCCATCCCTCCTTCCTCCTCTCTCTTCCCCCTCCTCATTGTTGCCTGAGGAAAACAGGCCTCCTCTACCATGGTATACTGAGTCATCATGATCTTCTCTGTGAGTGCCAGATATGTAGAAAGCACACGTAAGACCTGCCTTCAGCAACTTTCAGATCTCCAGAAGGAATTCATCTTGTAACTGATAATTTGCATCTTTGACCAATGTCTCCGCATTTTCCTATACCTTTGGCTCATAAGCACAAATGCTAGTATGTTATGCAACCTGGAAAACATGTATCATTCCTTGTTGGCAATGAAAAGGAAGTCCACCCACCACTTGCTTATCTCTTGCCATGCTGGTCTCCTACCGTTTGTTCAAAAGGACTCTGTTTC